TTTTCTATATTTCTCCTTAACGTCGTTAAAATTTCCCCTTAGCGGCAGTATTTTCGCCTTAAGGTGTTATTTCTAACCCTTTCCATTTTTATCGTTTCCCCCTATGGTAGTAATAATGACCTTTGCGGAGTATCAATCAAACTTAATTAGCTATGGATACGTGCATGTCTCACAAACACACAGGTTTACATACCTTTACGATATATACAGGTCCCACAAGGCGAGTTGAATGGCCAAGCGGTTAAGGCAGGGCGCCACATCGTAGCCACCGGCGGCGCTGGTTCGAACGGCAGGCTCGCTACGGTTCTGATGGTGGAACAAGTCTTCTCGGATAAGGACTATAAACCGTAGGCAAAGTGTACACAATTTGGCTCATGTGCACTTTACAGAACCCACATCTTTCGAGACGAGTAGGGGGTATTCCCGGATCCGGTGTATGGTTCAGCGCCTGTCGTGGACAGACGAGTGAGCGGCCTAGCTGATACCTCAGATACCTGGTAGCTCAAACATGAACAGACCCTTAGGCTAACATAGTTACCAACCTGAGAGATTTGAAATGCGTGACTACACAAGTTTGCGGGGGTGGGGGAAGGGCCCCCGGGTTCCAGAGGCGGAGCCCCGGTCGGGTCCAGGGGGCTGGGCCCCTGGCGCTCCGACGATCTGAGCATTTTCAAGCTGTTTTAAATCGATTTCAGGGAGTGTTTGTTGACAACACCGAGTACTACGGTAAATAAACAAAAATATTTTTAATTAAGGCACATACAATTTGAGTTTCATGCAAATCATGTTTAACTTGAGCACTTGAACTAATGTATACAAACAATTCATTACTTAACAAACAAAAAATGAATAGGCACACTGATCAATATTTAGTAACGCGTCAGTAAATGACACAAGTTAATGCATTTATATTTTTAATAAAACCAACTTCTTCTAACTTTAAATACATTTTAGCTTGAATTCGTAATAATTCATTATCACGCATAGACCTGTGCTAAAAATGCGTGACAAATTTATGATCACGCATGTGTTTCTGCAAAATGCGTGTTTCAACCAAAATCACAACCGCCCCGCACGATGCGAGACGGTTGGTAACTATGCTTAGGGAAGAAGAAAGTTTCGGTACGAGCTAGTCGACACCCCGAGCGTTTTGAGACTCCGGTATACAGCGCTATATAAATCGAACTACAATACTTTACAACGTAGAAAACAAAACACAGGGAGGGGGCCTTAGTGAAGGTCCATTAAAAATCAGTTATTAATTGAAAAATCGGAATTGGCCTACATATAGAAACAATTAAGTTGTTCATTTTAATAATAACAAAAAACACAACAGCAATAATAATACTGTAACAGTATACTTTTGGAGCCAAATGAATTTATTCAGCGCTATTAGATCGAAATCGGTTAATTAAGTCGTTTTCTTTAATCTACACACTTTTGCATGATTTTCTAGCCTATTTTAGTATCTAAGAACTGTCATAGGCCTATTTCTGTTTTAAATATCAATTAAAATACAAATAGGTCCTAGGCCTATTATGCAAGGAGCATTTCAGTTCGAGTTTCTTAGCTTGAAATTGTTAAAAATCCTCAGCTTAGGCCTATTGATAGCGTTACAAATATTTATCATTTTACTATTAACGAATTCTTTTTCTTTTATATTATAGCAATGACGACGGTAACGGATCAGTAAAAGTAACGGTAACAGTAACAAGCAACAATAACAGCTCTATTAATAATGATAATAATGTAATAATAATGTAATAATAATAATAATAATAATAATAATAATAATAACAATAATTGAATAATAATGATGATAATAATAATAATAATAATAATAATAATAATAATAATAATAATAATAATAATAATAATAATAATAATAATGATAATAATGATAATAACAATAATCATTTCCATTATGTCGCAAGTCAATCGATGTTGGATGAAAAGGGGAAAAACTCCTAATATAAAAAAAATCAACATGTAATAATGTTAAGTTTTGGTAAGTGGATATTTGCCGGTGCTAGACAAGCAAGTTCAAAGTCCAGGGAGCCATTGTATTGGTGTTCGCACTTGTACCTAGTCAATTTGTACTGGCCATAGACAGTTAAATCACATGATGTGGTGCTTAAATTGACATTAACAAAACTGAGACCAAACACTCTGAATGACGTGGTCCAATAGGAAACACGTCTCTCGGAATAAAAAGCAGCCGTTCCGATATTAACACACATTGTGCGAAAGAGTTTGTTTATATTTATTTACAAAGATTACGGATGTTCTGTGTAAAGACAGAAATAGTTGTTTATACCTTCTACGGAAGCATTCGTACGCTCCGGTATCTCGTCCTTCTAACTTATGGATTATGAACTGATCGGGGGTTCAAACAGTAGTTTGACAATATTAAGCGTACTGATTAACACGAAGTTAAATGTCCACGCGTTTTATATCGAGTCTGAGTGTTGCCATTTTATCATCACTTAATTGATGTGTAATACTACATCACTGTCAGAGATTGATCTCGTATCCAGGTAAAGGTAGAGTGAATGTGGTGAATTTGATTGATCTTGTAACAGAACAGATTATTATCCAGGTACAGGTAGTATGTCTCGATTCTTCCTTCCCCCGCCGAGTGTATAACTGTATCTATCCCCCGCACGTTGACTATACCTGTACGTATTACGGCTATCTGCAGTTGTCTTTATGAAGTTCATGGTAAATACTTCGGTTGTGTAGAAATGAATTGTTAATGGATGATAATGTCTGCCAATCTCAACGCATTTTCTATGGAGAAAATTAATAAACAACCTTCGGGTTGTCGTCTTTCCTGTTTACACTTGTGAGCTTATACTTACCATTTACCGGCACGTCTGAAATAAACACTTGAGACAATTAATGCGACTATAAATCAGACGTTTCAGGATATTGGTATAAGATACTTTTCCTCGTTGATATCTATCTTTATTTAGAAAGGATTACTGGTTAGTTGAAGACGTGTAGGCATGGAGTTGTAAAACATGACAGTCTGTGGCTTGAGTACTTTTTTTTTCATTCATCTTCGGTGTACTAATCGTCTTGATTCCCGCTGACTTTGTCAGTATTTGGTTTCCTGCTGACCTGACATTTCGTCCACTGGCATTAGAAACATTTCTCTATATCGTGACATTTATCAATTGATTTAATACGATAATTTTTATTCTAGTTTCGAACCCACGCTCTGTGGTAAATACCGTGAATTCGAAGTCGCTGAGAACCCAAATTGATTCAGTGACAGTGGTGGGCAGGGTTCTGTGGGCGTACCCTGCTGGCAGACGATCAGCTATCATACCTAGACAAGGACATACCTGGCGGGCTCAGGCTTTTGATCTCACATTACCATGTAAGTATACAGTTTTTTTAATAGGCAGCACGTATAATTCCTCTACTTCAATTTATACCAATATCACCAAGTCTCGTCACTACTGATTTATTGTGGATATAATAATCCACAAAAGCATTTTCCTCATAATTATTATTTATTTATGTAGATTAACATTGGACTGGTGTCCTTGCAATCAATGCGATGTTATGCATTATGCATACAATACAATAATAACTAAAATGTGTTCCAGTTAATTTAATAATATCATATAATAGAGATAGATGTTGTCAGGCCTATATAGGCCTATACTACTTTCAAAGTTAAGTTCCTAGTGACTACAAACATATTTGGAGCTGAACTTGGTGGTTAAGGGACCTGCCTTTCAATTCTGGGTTCAAATCTTCTCTTGCGACTAAAAGCAGCACTCTAAGACTTGTTAAGACATTTAGATTTCATGACATTTCCGTGTATGCCAACAGTCTTGGTTCTGGACGTTGATATTAATTCTTGATCAGATTCCTCTTCTGCATACAGAGCGATAAACATTTTATGAGCTCTATAATTCTTGCCTCTTATACACATCT